AATCAATGGTCTCGGCTACACTGTTATGCACATGATTCTATATTCCTTCTTAATAAGTCTGTTTAAAGGTTTTGTTAGCGTTTGAGGTGAATACTGACATTTTTGTGCTTTGTAAAGAATATTACCATAAAAGATTGGATGTGAAATACCCGAACGTATAAGATGTCTGCATGTTGAGTTATATTTACGAATGATGTCCTTATACCGATGATAAAATTTAGTAAATGTTTTGACTAGTTTATGATATCGAAAACCCTGGTGTAATAATTTTTCAGTAATACATAAATTTCTCTCGCTAAAATCTAATACGTTGTTACATACACGAGCGAATCGTACAAGTTGAGATATATAAACACCATAAGATGGTGACAAGGGAACGTCACCATCTAAAAATGGATAATTAACGATAGGAAATGAAAAATCATCTCTTTTATCATAAATTTTTGTATTAAGCTTCCCGTTAATGATATAGATATCAAGATCGAGGAAAGGACAGTGGTCATTGTTAGTATTATCTTTATTTAAAGTAAGTTCAACAGGATAAATTTCTTTAGTATACATACTGAAGTCGTCATTATTGAGAGCCAATATATCATCCAAATATCTAAAAGTATTGTTAAATTTTTGTATCAGATGTTGTTTCGATGGGTCTTTGCTGATTTTAGTCATAAATTGTAACTCATAACAATACAAAAACAGGCCCGCAATAAGTGGTGCACAGTTAGTCCCCATTGGAATTCCGATAACTTGACGATATACGGAATCTCCAAAGCGAACAAAAATGTTATTAAGTAAAAATTCAAGGGCAGATATAGTATCAAAGCATGTCCAATTGACATAGCTCTTTTGTTTGTTGCTACTAAAAAATGACCTAAACGAGTTTGAACATATGTATTCGCATTCCGACTTTTTAAATGCCCATTTAAATAGGTGTTTGAATTTTTTCTTAATAAGAATATGAGGAAAAGTGGTATATAGGGTAGAAAAATCAAAACTTTGAACAGATTCAAAATCACCAATAAATGCATGCAATTTATCAAGTACTTCCAACGAGTTTTTGACACTCCAAAAGTAGTTAATTCCACTATTTTCAGAAGCCTTATTTGAACAATTTATTATCAGGTTTTTTATTGTACCAAGTGTACTAGTAAGTAGAATAGACAATTTAGTAGTGGAACAATGACTTGAAGACGAAATAAATCTATATTTGTAAGGTGATTTGTGTAGCTTCGGAAGCCAGTACATAGTTGGGACTTTCATTGTATTTGGTTCTGCTTGTAAAGAAGTAGCTAATAGTTTATGTTTGTTACAGATATCGTTTTCTGAAAATGAAGTCAGTTGGAATGTTGGTGAATTCGTGATTTCCTTTTGCAGAACCTCAATGTAAAATTTACGTCAAACTATAATGATATTGTTAGCAGCTTTATCAGCCGGGACAAAAACAAATTCTTTGGCTAGTTCTTTTAGTTTATGTTTGATACGAGAAATATGATTTTTGTGTGGTTGTTGTTAAGAGTAAAATGTTCTTTAAAATGTTGTATACGTATATCAACTATCTTCCAAAGATTTTTTGTCAGCTTTTTCCCGTTTTATCCTTTTCAAACAGTAAGCACGAAGTGAGTCGTGGATGATATTACGACACTCATTCCAATTAATAATTGACGGGGAACGATATTTAGGTCCTTTACTGAGGAATGATTTTAACTCTCGGTCGCGAACGATGTTAAGGTCTCCTGTTATAACATGGGAAATGGGGCCATAAGTGTATTCGGAATTACTACAATTACATGACGGAGGTGTATTTTCACTGATATTTACATCTTTACAGACTTGGCTATAATTAAACACAAATTTTCGGGTAGATTTCTTGTAAATATAACAAATAAGAGGGAATTCAATATTATCAAAATATCCAGGAATTTGTTCTTTAACAGAATGGTCGTTAAAAATACCGGCAATATTTACAAAATCAAAACCTTTATTGCCATACTTTATTTTAATAAAATGTTTTTATGATCTTCACGTCGATCAATTTTTGGAAACAGTTTAGAATAACAATATGCCAATATAATTTGAACGATTTCATACTTAGGACTGCAATATGAAATTGTGTTGCAATCCTCTAAAATTTTATTTAATTTATTTATAGGTGAAGAACAGAGCTTGGTTAATAGATAATGTCTGCCGTTGTTTTTTGAAATAGATATTAGGTCCGAAATATTTGTATGGTTGGTCCGAAATTTTCTTTGATTACCATTTTTTCTACGCCCATGAGAACGGTTTTTACGAACAGTTTTAGAAACTATATCCATAATGTTAACAGAATCTGTTCTTTATAAATTACCAATGTATAGAAAGCACATAAAATCAAAGAAAAAAGTTCTTAAATTTGTTTTAAATAAAGGCAACAGTAGTATACCGGTGTTCAAGAGTCATAAATCGATTGAGAGAAAACAAATGCGGGTTACAAACTAAAACAGAGGGAACACATCACCTATAAGAGGAAAACAAAAGAACAATAGGAACACTGAAGTGCAACAAAAACAAACGCTAACATACATAGAAACGAACTATTTGATAACAACTGCCATATTCCTGACTTGGTACAGGACATTTAAAGAAAACTGGTGGGTTAAAATCATCCATTCTCCAATTTCAAATCCATAGACTTTTCTAAAAAAAAACACTATGTGTTGTTTGTACACAAATTCCCTTTTCATGATGTAAAATAATAAAAGGGTCACTGACTTTTTACTTTTTATAAGCTATATATTCAGTGATGGTCTAGGTGACAGAATTACACAAAACGTCAAAACAAGCGTAACATCATCGTGTTGTAGGCCGTTTTTCACTACTAACAAGGTTACAGATTTGTTTAAAAATAAACAAAAACAAAGTTAGTGACCATATGATTATATTATATCATTAAAACGTAAGTTTATGTATCAACAATATATAATTTTAAAGAAAATTCAATGGATTTATAATTGGAAATTTGATGATTTAAAGACAAATTTGAGAACGTTTTTCCCCGAATGTATGTGTTTTCTAAACAAACGTTTACCTTTTTTGAAAGAATTCAATATGTTATATTTCAGAAAATAAAAAAAAAAACAAATGCATTATTTTTTCGATTTTCAGTTATAGTTCAATAGGATAAAGTTGTATACAAAGTTTTACCAAAATCTGTGACATAGCCCATTTACTGTTCTTAGACCTTAAGGCTTAATGTAAAACAAATAAAACCATTTAATGACAGTTAATGCAAAACATCTCAAACCATCTAAGGTCAGTTTTATACAGTACAACTAAAACCATCTTTTGTTTTAGCACCACCGTCCCAGGTTACCGGGAGGGTTGAGCGCTTATAAACATGTTGAACCCCGCATCATTCTTCATGTGCCGGTTCCAAGTCAGGAGTTTGTAATTCAGTGGTTGTCGTTTGTTCATGTCTGTCATATTTGTTTTTCGTCAATTGTATTTTATATTAAACTTGGCAGTTAGTTTTCACGTTTTATATGTTTTATGTCGGGGCCTTTAATAGCGGACTATACGGTATGAGTTTTTTTCATTGTTGAAGGTAGTTCGGTGACCTATAATTCCTTTTATCTTCCTCATTTGAACTCTGGTGAATAGTTGTCTCATTGGCAATCATACTACATGTCGTTATTTTCATATATGTCAGTTAATGCAAGACAGCTTCAATCGTCTACGGTCAGTTAATACAGTACAGCTAAAATCGTCTAAGGTCAGTTAATGCAAAAAAGCTAAAAAGTAATGGCTACTTGGTAGGTAAACCACGGGAATGATTGTCCGGCAGCAGTGTTAGCTACACAAGAATAATAGTATAACACCGATTTATTGACACATGCGCTACGTTTTTTCTGAAGTAAAATCAATTAAGCTTCAGTTAGAAGTTTGGGAAGTAAAATTTATAAAACGTTTCGGAGCTTTAAAACCAAAAAAAACGGCGTCAATAGAACTTGCAAATATGTCTCAGGTTAATATTACTTGAAAACCTTACAACTCTTAGTTTTGATACAAATAAAAGCATCATGTTCAGTACACTACACTTATTTATAACATTACCGGTTACAATAAACGAAAAGTGAAGAAGTAAGGTCTTTTCGTTGTTCTTTGGTCTTGAATCTAGTTCATGAAAAATTTAAGAGCAATGATTGTAAAAAGGTTTCCTCTGTATTAGTATGTGCACAGTCTCTGATAATTTTTTAATTCCTATTGGAGAAACAATTTGCATATAAGTATCATTACGTTTCCAAAAACAGTCATAAGTTGTTTTTTTCAATTCACTACTGGTTTTTAATATGATTACTACACTTTCTGTAGGTTGTAAACCATAACCTTCTACTGAAGTTTACATGATTTGTTATTCCAAAGGATTATAAGAGATAGGAGCGACATCAACAGCACAACTTGGGACACAGCAGATCTCATTCGTATATGATAAAACAAGAGCTTTGCAAACGGAAAGCATATCATACATTTGTCTACATCTGGGACGGTATATAAACTCATCATAGACATAGTTACAATGTACCAGGATTACAAAAATGTGTGTACGTCAGACGCGCGTTGTCTGCAAAAGACTCATCAGTGACGCTCAAATCAAGAAAGTTAAAAAGACCGAATAAAGTACGAAGTAAACGTATTGCTGCTTTTGAATTATCAGTTCCGGAGATTTACATCCCCAAGTGTCCATTGCCACGGTATTTGTTTAATTTAAATGATACATTTTGGCTGCAAATTTCCTTAGATTATAAAATTGTTATAAGGGTTGCCACAAATCCAAGCAAAGTTGACTTCACTTGGTGTTTTATTTCTGTCCGTTTGGTGTATGTGCTCTTGCTTTGAAAATGTTGTGTGGCCAGATATCATATCACATTGTTTTTTTTTACTTCCAAATTGTAAAAATTGGTTTCAAATTCCTCAGACGAAGCTGAATCAACACATCATATATTGACTTGTTAAACACACAGAAATAGCTATTAAGCAAATCTTTTTATACATTTTTATACATATTTCCCGCACATGAAAAACAAATCTTTCGCACACATTTTCAAAAATATTTCATACATTTTAATTACATTTTCTCATTTTTTCTCTATCAAAAATACACCATTTCAACCTCTTTCGTATCTAACAAGGACTACTTTTATGTGAACGCTTTCGTTTCATATATCGATAATAAAGACAATAAAGAACAAGAATAATAATCGACAGCAGTGAATATCTAAAAGTCTTCGTGTAAGAAGGACGGCTAAGTTCTTCCGTTATCACTTGAGTGTGAATCCATGGACCCCAATACCCCTCGTGGTATTTTGGATCGGCCATGAAGTCATTTTCAGGATAAAAGCAAGGCACCGATGTCAATGCGAAATTTGCCAACATCTCGAGTAAATCAAACACAACCTCTGGTCTTTTTGTCGATAAATCATGCTTTTCATAAGGGTCATTTTCAATGTTGAAGAGCCAAATGTTTTTATCATTTGGCCTTTCATACAGTTTATTCTGGTTCTGTCCTCGAGTTGATGTATATATCCAGGACCCATTTCCTAAAATATATGGAGAAATACTAAATCTTTGTAAGATCAAGTTTTTCTTGTCTTTTGATTAAGCCTTTGGTGTCTTCAATATTTCTGGCTTCGATTATTGAAGTACACAAATGTTCCGTTGTAATTTTGTTTTGTTGATAATTATTATAAGACAGTATCTTGGCCCGAATTATTACTTTAAATCAAAAGCATGCCCTTCACCAATGGAATAAAAAGAAACTTTTGAAACATTTATTAAACAAATAAAAAAAATTGTACAGCCAAAATATGCTGTCCGAACAGCAATGAGAGAATAGAAAGACTTAAGTTAATAAACTTATAGCTCATAAAAAATAATGTTATCTCCTCGAATTCACGATTATTTCATGGTTAAGACAATTAAATGACCTTTCAAACTCTGGACAATGCAACATCGAAAGACGATTTCGATAGAAACCAACTTTTTATTTCCTTTGACTTTTGCGGAATTGTGCCTTTTTATTATTAAGTATGATAAATGATTCTGCTGATAGATCCAACTAGCTGTTGAAGACTATTGTGGAAAATTGTTACAGAATAACTATATCAATGAATTGTACTTTTTGTGTTCTTACCTGGATCGCCTGTAATAATTTTCCATTCATTATGTCGAAGTGCTGCTCTCTCTCTAGCATCAAACTGTTTACCAGATTTTCGTTCTCCAGCATGTGACATCAATGGGTCTATGTTGTGTAGAATTGTCTTTCGTTGACTCTGTTCGCCATAACTAGTTAACAAACACACATAGACACTAAGTTGTTGTATTTTGAGTGTCAATACACCATTTGAATAACACAAAGGAGACGAGTTGTATTGCAATTAAAACGATTTTATTTTTCTGTTGAGCATCATTAGTAAATTTTGCAGAATAAAAAAATCTAATTGTATTGTGGGTTTAATTAAAATAAATTTACTAATATATTTTTGAGTTGATAACATTAAACAGTACCAATTCTACTGCAATAAATAATGCATCTTTATTCAGTCATGCTAGAGAAATGTTTTAAAAATTAAAACCCTTACTACTACAAACATTGACAAGCATCAGATAAAACCAAAAAGGACCAATATATAGCCAAACCTGGATAAGAAATCAAAGGGGAATTCAGGTAAAGATTAATAAATAAGAAAGGAATAAGTGAATTGAACGTTTATTTGATTTCCAACTGCTTTCTTTGAGTCTGAAAAGGGGCCTTTCAGTGTTGATTTGATATCTCATTTTTACAAACTGAATCACAATTAAAACAACTCTTTCATATCATTCATAAGATTGAATTAAGAACTGTAAAAATCTGCACATATTGTGACCAACATTAAATCGACTCGAACAAATATTTTAGTTCTATGAATTTTTTAAAAAGAAGAGCTTGGTTTTAGACTTTTCTTAATCTATAGCTTGATTGACCATCCCTCCATTGAATTTGAAGGGACTTATATTGTTGATGTTTGTTATATATTGTAAGAAACCTGTCCGTTGGAACAAAGTACGGCTGTTTGTTTATTTTTTCATATCCTAGTATTGATTAAAAAAAAGTTAATATAATTTTTAATATACATTAGCCAAGTTAGAGCAACTTTACAGTATGACATGCTCTAAATCCCCCTAATTATTAAAAGTTGTGAAGAAATCTAACAGAGAAGATTAAAGATCGATCATTCATATCAAATTTTCCTAAATGACTTCGTTTACAGTTTGCAGTTTGATGGGCATCAAGTCCTAAACAAAAGCAGTCTCAAAACACATATAAATAGGATATCAATAGGTATGGGTTTTGCTCATTGTTGAAGGTCGTACGGTGACCTCTTTTTGTTAACTTCTATGTCATTTGGTCTCCGGGAGAGTTGTTTCATTGGCAATCATACCACATCTGATTTTTATATCAAGTCTTGTTATAGTCTTATTCAAGAACAATCATAATCAATAATGTCTTGATATCTTTAATATGTTGCAAATTTCTTGTCGGGTCTGGTCGCTGTCTATAATATTTGTTTTCGTTCATTGTTTTGTACATAAATCAGGTCGTTGGTTTTCTCGTTTGAATTGTTTTGCATTTTGTCACTTGGGACCTTTTATAGCTTACTATACGGTTTGGTTTTGCTCATTGTTGAAGCCGTTCGGTGACCTATGATTGCTTACATATACGTCATTTGGTCTCTGTTGGAGAGTTGTCTCATTGGCAATCAGACCAAATGTTCTTAACTTTAAACTGTTCAAATAGCGTTTACTTACAACGTAAAAGAGTATAGGGTAACGTTCCACATTTGAAAGATTGAATCCCTGCTGCATTGAATAAGATTATTTTGAAGACTGAAATAGGAGAATCTATCGTAAGAATATGATATTCTGTCAAAATGTAGTTCTAAACAGAGTTTTTGCTAGTTAACAGTCAAAAATATTTCCTTCAGATATATTAAAAACGTATTTCAGTGACTTTGATCCAGCATTTTAACACACATTAGTGAGGTACAAGTGTGTTTAAAAATTTAACAAAAAAGTTAGGATGGCGGCCATATTCACAAATAATCAATACCTTATTGTTCTCCATTGATCCACACCGTCTAGTGGATTCGTTCTTTTCAACGATCCATCTGCAAGATTAATCAAAGTTGGAAACCAATCAGACACATGTATTAGTTCTTTTGAAATGGTGCCTTTCTTTTTGATCATTTGACCGTGAACAAATCCAACAGCTTTAATACCTCCTTCCCACAGAGAACCTTTCCAACCCCTTAATGGCCAGTTGTCTCCACCGTACAACACTTGTCCTCCATTGTCTGTAATACATCAAATTATAACACGTGCAACAAAACTTACTATCTAAGGCGAACTTTGATAACTTTACAAGGCAGAGGATGTCTTTTCAGAAGGATGCGGGGTGTCTGTGTGTGTGGTTAGTTTTTAGTTTGTTGTATTTCCGAATAATCTGAAACTTCTTGTATACTGCAAGATATATATATTTGTACTATTCTCGCATATGTGCTGCATAATACACAAAAAGGTAACAGGAATCCCAATGATAATGGATAATAAATTCAATATATCACACCAACCATCAAATGTTGGACTTTCAACCTGATTGATTCATCAAATTAAGATACTTAAAAACTTTTAAAAAAAAAGGATTATCCAGCTATTTAAACAAACTTTTGGTCGACCATATCAAACTTAACTTTTTACAGTTATGTTTACCTGTTGTGAAGACCAACAGTGTGTCTTGCCATAACCCCTTTGACTCGAAAGACTTCACAACATCGCCTATGGCCTCATCCATTGCCGATGTCATACCTATAAAGAAAGAGACAGAGACATAATAGATAAGAAGACGTCTGTCAGGGGTTTTGATGTGTTGTTTGTGTTGCTGTATCATAACATAGTCAGGAATATGACCTTTGTTTTCAATTCGTCCCGTTGATCGATATAGTCTACCGTTTGATTTTGTCATTTTTATGGACCTCCCTCTTTTTTAATTTTTAATTAAAGTTGGAGTTCGGTAATTTTGTTAATATTTATTCTATATAAATATACACTATTTATCCCTTATATAAAAAAAAGTAAAATACAGCAAAGGATTGCAGGCATGTTCATTAAATCAACCAACAGCTATAGTTTCAAAGATTGTCCATGGACTTTTCAAATAACAGGCAAAAAAAGACAATGTAAAACAACAATTATTATCTTCAGTATTAGTATTTACCTGCATATACTCTTCTGTTCATATCTTTTATATCTCCGTACTGTTTCAGATACTTCTCTGGAACTTGTAATGGCAAGTGTACTGCTTGGAAGGACAGGTACATAAAAAGCGGCTGACAGAAAATGATAAAACACTAAATGAATAATTGTATTAGTATTGTTCAATATGTTCACATGGATTAAGAACACTTTAATATAATATGAGGATGTATAGTAACAATTTCAAACAAACAAACATGAAAACTCCAAATTCCATAAGGCAATGTTTAATGATTTCCATGTTTTAACATCTTTTTCTTTCATGTCACCATAAAATCAATCATTTGTTGAATAGCTTTTCTAAATACAGGATTGGATATGTATTATGTGAAACGAACCATTAAGCTAATATAAAAAGATAATTGCAGAATATTTATTTAGTTTAGCATAATTACAACCTGGAGTAAATGCTGTTGAATTAAAAATAATAATTCAAAGTAATATTATGTAATACGACAATTGAGAATGCGCTTTTGATTAACAAATCAAACTTAACTAATAGTGTTACTCTATGTTTTATATGGTTACATTGAAAATAATACATATTTTACTTTTCACAGTTTTTGAAACACTTTAATTAAATTCGTATAATACGTACTTTCTCTGAATCGTGTTTATCCACAATTTCCACAGCTTTCTTGCTATATAAGTTAGTAGAATATTGTCCTCTATATTCATTATTGACTCTCTGTATTCCGTCCCTCAGATCAAGTCCATTTATTCCCATTGCAGAGTCATTGTACTGGTAATGATCGGCTTTTCCATTAAGAATACCTTCAATTCGAAGAATCGTGTTAAACAGCGAGAAAGAAAGAAATAAAGCACTATTTGTATTTCTTTCTAATTTGATAGGTAAAGGAGTTTACATAAAATGTAAGATAACATTATTTTGACTGCAGAACATTTATGTTACAAATTGAAAGTATCAAATGTTATTTGTGACGCTTGAATGCATCCTCTTCTCATTTACTATTATCTATGTATAACAATACTTGAGTTCCATCTATCCGTAGACAGAAAGGATCACAAGAACACAAAATTGTTTGATAGGCTCCCCAAGGGACCATAAATGGAGGAAGGGTTGGTTTGGGTTTATACCACTAACGTACTTAAGCATCTTCAACCACATGGCGATGAAACCATGGTTGGCGAGAGAGGTCTTTCCGGTTTTATTTTATTTTCGAGATTTTTTTGTAATTATCATAAAAAATGCAAACAACACTTTTTTTAAATTGCATGCGCCCTAAGCGTTTTTCTTGATTTACCTTCATCAGGAACACTCTAAACCGAATATTTGAAAGCCAAGTATGTATAACAACCGAAACAGTTGAAGAGCTACATGACCATAAAGGAGCATACAATTTCCTAAACATTTGTATCTGAAAAGCATATGTTTTTTTTCCGAAAATTTGTATATCTAATTACCACAAAGTAAGATGTTAACCAAATCAAACATGCACACATGACCTTCAGTTAGCACCTGTTCCATATTAAAGTTTTCAAATTTGTGACAGTGTATGTTCTTTTCTGAGTAGCAACACGTAGACACAACACCTTTATCAGCTGCGTATGGAATAAATATAGTACGGTTGTTCGGCTTTTAAGAGCATGATTCTCTATACTGATTTCCTCGAGAAAGTAAAGTCACATTTGCGTAAAAGCTACATAAAAAGCATGATCGACAATCGACATATGCATATAAAAAATAACCTTCATTAGGTAACCTTTTGAGGGGAAAGCCAAAATATATCCTTTGAAAAAAATCAAAAGGGTCTAAACAGAACAGCAAAATCCAACTAAGGTGACATCCAACTTTAGCAAAAGAACAATAACAAAATATATATACGGATTATTTACAGTCATAATAAATGAAATTATATAATATCAGTACTGAAAGTCTCTGAGTATAAGGTTACAATCCACCTTAACTGATTGCATCTCTACAAATGTTGCCATATGGAGGTGTCACAAATGAACATAGACATACATGTATACGGAAAAGACAGTATCTTCCCATCATTTTAACCATTGATGACGCTCAAGAGCGGAGACTCAACAGCGATTATTACCACTCCTACTACTCACAAGACTTCGTATTGTGAAAGCATTAGTTCTATATGTTTGGTGTTCATTTCTGTTTTTCATTATTATCCACGCACTTGTATCGTTGCTTTTGATTTGTTTCGTTCGTTTATTGTCTTTTAGACTTACCGTTTATAATTTCTGTACTTAATAGTGATATAGTATATCTTTCTTGACCAATTTTAAGTGTTTCGTTTCGACTTGAATTTTTTAATAGTGCGTCATAATGAACACACAGTGACACATGTTTATCAGCAATTCTTTCAAACGAAGGAGCAATAAATATCGTGTTTCGAAGAAAAGAAGACAAAACCAGGGCAAAAAAAAAAGAATGAAAACACCTGTCCTCTAATCATTAAAACAGAATCGTAGAATAAAGAGCAACAACATAAAAAATTATGGGTAAATTCGGATGCTCCAGAAGCTATGATTTACCTTCGTTGTATTTATATTGGTATATTAAATCAGGGGATAAGTCATGAACGAGAGAGGGAGGAGGAAACTATGAAAAATGGAGTGACACAGATATTTCGTGATGGTAAGAAAAGGTAAAAAACAGACATAAAACGTTTGAATTTAGGATTTATTTTTCACCATTTAGAACTTTTACTTCTAAGCAACTTACCTCAACGATAAACTTATGTTAAGAAACAAACGCTTGTAGTAACCGAGAGATAGCATAATCCATATGCAGCAACTACTAGAATGTTGCTGCATATAAATGCATGGAAAGTTTTCAATGGGAATACTGATATTACCTTTTTTTGTCGTTAAGCTTAGTTTTCTTATTGTTCGGCTTAGGGGGAAAGTAACTTACCGAAAAATGTGTCAAATCCTCTATTTGTTGGTAAATATTCCTCTTTGAAGAATCCAAGATGCCATTTACCTACAGCATGCGTGGAATAACCTGCTTCCCTCAATTTGTCTGCCAAAGTTGGATCTTGTAATGGAAGGCCGTTCTGCTGCAAGGGCCAAAAAATGCCATGCTGTATTCCTGTATGTATCTGAAAAAGGGGATTGTTTGCTTATATTATATGGAAGCATTTATACTGGGAAAATCGGTGGTAAATTGCTCAACATGTTAAAATATTTTAAAATGCAATAATAAAGATAAACATTTATATATGTGACAAGTGTGACATTTGAGTGGAAATATGCCGCATTTTTCTTATATGTAGACTCTGTTTTATCTAACTTATATTTAGCTAGTAAGTTCGGGATGTTTAACGTCCGACTAATTAACTTAATTGTTCTAAGTCGGATGGATATAACTTTTACCAGTCTACTTCATCTTTTTAAATATGCTTAATCACAAATAAAAATGTAAATAAAATGAAGAACTATTAACACATCACATACAATATAGAAATAAAAAAAAACGGATTTTTACCGGAGCTAATCGACGGGTGAAGTAGTGGGGCAGGAACTGCTGCCCACCCATAATAACTTGATTAACACCCGGTTTTTGCTAGGGGTTCGTGCTAGTTTTCTGTGAAGTATTTTGTAGACTGACGTTTGTAAGTTCTGTTTTCTTTTTGTCATGCATGGTGTTGTCTTTTTCCGACCAATGTTTTGTATTGGTTCCTTGGTATCTTCTCGTTTTCTACTGTATACTGTTATTACGCTTTTTAGTCAATATTTATTAACTCCTCGTCGATCAACTTTAGGTCCCAAACATGTTAAACCCTACCTATTCTTTGAGTCTGTTCAAAGCCGGCTGCTATAATCCAGTGATTATCGTTACTTACTGTCTGCCATATTAGTTTGTTTGTTTTTTTATTGTTTTTATTTTTGTCATTTTTGTAGTATAAGAAAGGTCGTTGACTTTCTCTTTTGACTTTCATATTTTGTCATATTTAAGTTATAAAACCTAGCTGTTTATTCTTTACTGAGCTGTTGACTCCTAAGAAAATATTAACTTGCATCTTAGGAAATAGGCTAATATATATACTTAATTTCCCCAATCTTTTAATTTTATAAATATATTTCCATGATTTGACTGGACGTTATATTTAACATACTATTTGTACATTAACTATTTCTGCACATATATGTTGTTAATACACATATTATACTAAATAAATATTGACATGTATTGTGTACTGTATGTTATAATTATGTTATAGAAACTACAGGTAAACTAACACGTGGCTTAGAATGTCATAACATCTTACCTGGTACCTTCCGGTCATTAGTTGTGACCTTGTAGGAGAACAAATCGGCTGGACATAATAATTCTCTAGTTTGACGCCACCTGCTGCAAGTCTGTCTAGAACTGGTGTTTTGATCTCGGATCCATGATATCCAATATCATTATATCCATAATCGTCGGCTATTATGAACAAAATGTTTGGTTGCCGTTTTGTTCTGACTGTGGTAGCGAAGCACAATATAGCAAAAGCAATGCGTATCATACTTTAGCGTTTTCATTTCGTGGACACTGCATTATTTCTCTGTCTTTATAAAATTGTATCTTACGATGTGCACATATGTCGACGCGTGGTGTTTTATGGTTCAATAACCTAGTAAACAAATAATTTTAAATGGTATATAAGCTAGGTATGTGTTATCACCAATACATATACAATGTATGTATATTGTTAAAAAAAAAAATGAAAACAACACTTTAGAAATGTCATGCGTCCGAAGCGCTTTTCCTGATTTACCTTCATCAGGAACGCTAGAAGCTAAATTTTTTAAACATAATTTATGTGTACGAGCTTTAGAAGCATGAAGAAAAGTGTGTTGTGCAAGTTGACCGAGCTATTCTCCTATTTCGTATCGATTAAAAATAAATTTGATATTTTCCATATTTTTCTGGACATGAATCGTTGCGAAATATTTAAATTTCTTACGAAAGACGCTTGTAACAGTACGTAAATGCGTCTCAGAAAACCCATCAAAGAGTTGTCAATTACAATGTGCATTTGTGGAAAAATATTAATACAGATCCTGAAAGGGTGTTGCGGTCACATTCATTCTGATTTCGGTTGACATTACCAGCTGGTCGATCGTGTATCGGGTTTCCTTATACCAATAATGACCCGAACCAAATTTGACAAATTATCGCTTCGACAACTGGACAAGCTGTATTAAGTGACACGAGGAAGGGCATGAAGGATATGCCTGTCTTTCTGGAGAACTATTGTCATAGATATGCCTGTCTTTCTTGAGAACTATTGTCATAGATATGCCTGTCTTTCTGGAGAACTATTGTCATAGCCTGTATAACCTAGAACTTTAGTTTTAAATGTCTTTTTTTTTAACGTATGCATCTTTTCCTAATTTCTTCTTAGGTATCTAATATCTGTTATAATACACCCTTATATATTCTAAATATGTTGCTTAAGAATGGGTTGTCCTCGTGAGGGAAGAAGAATGTTGCAGTCAATACATTTTTTCTTGTGGAATAACGGTCGGTATATGTGCTGCCAATTTTTTTTTTAATTTTTTTTTTGTGTTTTTTTTTTTTATTATTTTAATGCGTGAGTGTTGAATATCGTAGCTCTTGTGATGGAATATAAATTGATCTTTGTTCTATTGTGTTGCTAGATTCTTCAATTTCAAGCATAAAGTGGCATTCATTACATGTCAAAGCGCTACCTTGACTTAATACGAACCCATAACGTATGACTGACAATTTCATTCATTCGGTAAGTGTTGATCGAAAACATTGTCTGCTAATTAACTTTCGAGTTTTGAGGCCGAAGTATAAGAATTATTACAAGATAAACAATCAACCTAGATAGGACTGAAGTAAGCACTAAGTAAGAATTTATTTCGACGATAGAGAGCGTTGTGGTATGTTGTTTTTATGATTTCCTATTTCAAGGCTTTGGTGTATACAAAATATTCTATTAGAATCGGTGAATACTGCCTTCTTTCACGTTGGTATCTTTTTTCTTCTTCTACGATTTTTCCTTTGCACTTCCATAGCGCGATTGCAGAATTTCTACGAGAGAGGTCAGATTGAGGTCACTGTCTACGGAAAAGCTGTTGGAGAATAAGAGTACGGGAAGACAATGATTCATTAATAGCAGTAAATTGCCCGTATATTTGGATAACATTACGCTTTTTCTTAATAAGTAGTTGTTTGTCATACAAATTAGCTATTATGTTATTTAAAACATATTCATCTTTTTTGTCAAATTGGAAGTATCATATGACTTTAAGTTTTCACTAGAACGGATTGTGTATATCAGCACGAAACAAAACACCTGTTCCTCTGTATGAACATGAACACAAGTTGATTGATTTCACTGAAAAGGTTTTTCTTGTTTTAATCTATTAAGTCCAATGCTAGTACAAATGACAGTTGCTATTTAATGATGAGTTAGCTTAGTTGGCTTTGAACGCAAGAGAAATGTATAAAGTTGAAACTTTATCTTTCGAATCTTAACATAAAAGTTTTAAAAGGATAAAACAAAAGTTTCCGGTTGTAATCTCTATATTTCATATTCAACATTATCCGTGGTTTACTGAGGCGGCAACAACTTTTTATTGTTATCGTTACACAAAAAAAAATAACTATAAACCATGACTGTATGCTAGTAAGCTATTCTGTCGTATGATAATATATTTAGTGTTCATCCGTCATTTCATAAGTAGAAACAAAGCCGAAATAAAAGGTTCTTTATTTGCATACGATCTGACAGCAGCATTTACATTAGTCATATTAAAGTAAATATTTTTTCATAACCACGGCCCCCATAGGCCGCCATGTTTGCTTGGATCATTTCTGGGATCAGGGTTTGGAAATCGGCAGGGTACTGCAGTGTTATTAAATGTTTGCAGCATATCTAACAATGTTTTGACCATTTCTGGATATTTCAAGGACAAGTCCACAGATTCGGTAGGTGATATTGAATAACCAAACGTTTTTGTTTTTATTTTCATGTGGATGTTTTGCAGTCCGTCCAGATTTGGGGTCAGGCATCCAGATTCCACTTCCTACAGGAAAAATAAGAATAAGAAGATTCTAAAGTTATGTCGACCAAAGAACTGCACTTACTAATGTCAATATTTATTAAATTCCAGCTCCAATGAAATCATAGTGTATCTTTTTATAAATCAGGTACCTACCAATTTCTTGCTATGTAAAGGAAGGTAAATTAAATATGAAAAGGGCTGCGAAGGAATAAGACATGTTTCTACGTTTTTTTTAAAGAATTTATTTGTTTATTTTCTTTTTTCCCCAATTTTCATTATATTCAATCGAGTTTGGTTGTATTTTGACAATATTACAACAATTGTATAAAAAAAATTTTAATCTTCAAACTGGAAAAATAAATCCACAACTACATATCCTCAAAAAGAAATCACGAATTCAGATATGCTGGTTAAGATTGAAGACTTTAAACGGGTATTTTGTTTTTAATTAATTAGACATAATCCAGTAATAATTATTTTGTTTCGCTATATATTTATAAAAGCATTGGCCACACTCTTTTCCAATCCTTCTCATTTTTCGTAAATTAATACACGTGCTTATGGTTGTTGCAATCCTAGTTGAATTGTTTCTGTTATATTCCCTTTTAAATATTTGTTTTTTATTTTGTTCTTACCTGGATCTCCTGTAATTAATTTCCAATCTTTATATCTTGATGCTGCTTTTGTTCTACTGTCAAACGTGTTTTTATATGTTCTGTCTACAGATTTAGGAAAACAATGGATCTATATTGTGGAGAAGGACTTTTCTGGGACTTCCCATTTCTTCACTGTTTTGTATAAAAAAAAATGTTATAATGTGACACTTGTTTTGGTTTTCCGAAAGGAAAGATGAACAATAAAAAAATGTTTCAAATATATCTAAATTAGAAAAATGTATTGTATGTTAAATATTTATATGTTTTGCAATATTATATAATATTAACTCACGGTTAATAATATTATTATTTCAAAGAATTTGTTTATTTTATTTCATGACGTAATACAATGCTAGTTAAAACGCTTGTGTTTGTTTAGCAATACAATTATTAATCATAATATCAAATTAAGAAATATCATTTAATTTCCTAGCGAGCAACACCAACTCAAATGTCCATTTTTATCACCGGTGTTGTTTAAAATGCAACTGACGTTGCAATATCAATTGTGACGTCAATCATGCACGTGCAGCCCATGTTCTATTGAAATTAGAACATGGCTTTGTTCCAAAATCGAAAGAAGAACGTCATTTTAGATGACTAATTTTAAAATCAAAAGTATGATAAAGCAACTTAAGGTCATTATGTTATCTTCACTAACAATTTTAATTCATTGATATAATAGGCAAGTACCCAGGTTCCCCATACCACAATAAAAAAGATCTATATACAAGGACCCAGCTCCCCCTTACCACAATAAAAAAAAATTCTACATACAAGTACCCTGCTCCCCCATACCACAATAAAAAAAAAGAGCTACATACCTGATAAAAACTCATTTTGACTAATCATTCTGTAGAAAATAGCATAAAATTATACTAGTATGTCATTTGTTACCTACCTGATGGTTTTCCATTGGTGATAACCATCAAGTGTGTCGTTTAGTTCTCCTCCAGCAAGACCAACCAATATGTGGAACCAGTCTGTCACGTGAATTAATTCTTTTGAGATACTTCCTTTATTTTTGAGCATATTACCATGCATGTACAAATCCAACCCCTCTCATTCCTCCTTCCCATAATGAGGCTTTTCCTTCTCTTAGTGGCCAATTATTTCCACCACCATTTATTTTTGTTCCATTATCTATTACATAGATAATTAATTGACAATACTAAATGTAACTAAAGTACATGAATGTTATTTGTATATTTTTTAATTTAAGTGTCATTTTACTAATATTAAGGCCCCAAGTTAGGATAGTAGTAAAGTTCATTTATACCACACAAAATCGGTTCATTGTTCTTCGGATTCTCTCGCTCCAAAATGACGGTTATGATCAATGGAAATGAAACTTTATTAATTCCAACGTGAATCTCATCCAATGTATGGCTACTATTTTGATTGTCATCAGATGAATTAAATTGAATACGAAAAGCCGGTTACATTAAAGAACCTATGAAGAATAGATTACTTGTTTCAAAATGTCTTCAAGTTACTGACCTTAACACTCGCTTATATATATCGAACCAGTTGATATGTTATGCATTGGATTATTTTTTTCATTATTTTAGAAAATTAGAAAAGTTTTACTCGTACGATCGTAGAGTAGGAGGATATATATATATATATATATATACATAGGGTTACAATCAGTCAACATGCACCGTATCCACGTATGCATTGATATTCATTAATGAATTAATATTTCCACAATAATGATTAAGGAACTTTTTATCAAATATTTTTTTTAATCTTCTACCTGTAGAAAAGACCATCAGCGTATTGTTCCAGATTCCTTTTTGTTTTAATGCATCTGTTATATTGCCAATGGCTTCGTCCATAGCAGACACCATCCCTGTTGTAAAATATTATACTATAAACCTTTCAAACTTGACAAAAGTAAAACATTAAACATGTAATTTAATATCCAGATAAACACCCGTAGAATTAG